TATTTTCAGTATATTATTAGAGGCTTCATAGACTAGAGTAACAGTTAGACAGAGTCACAGACTTTTCATATTAAGCCATGTTGGCTACAAATATGTTTCAGAATTGTATTAGTATTTCCGCACTTTGATTTATATCATCCATAATTTTCAGTATATCAGCATGTGTTAGTTTATCTTCTGCATTCAGTATGTTATGATACCATATGTTGATTCAGCCAGCCAGGTGGTTCGCTCGATCACATGTAGTCGGGCGCCGAGTGCCGTGTTACGTCCAGGCCTAGGTTCGGGGCGTGACAGTTTTCATGGGCTTAATCCTGAGGACTTATCCATTCTCGTCACCTTCTCACACGCCCTTTCTTTTCCTTACTCCTGTCTTCCTAAAACCTTGTCGCTTTATCATACTTCAGCTTGCGACCTACACATATCTATTTATATTATTCGCTACCTTCCTTCAACTTGCTTGCACCGTTAGCCTACTTGGAGGAATCTCAACCTGTCTATCGGGACCTGCGGGCATGAAACGCAGCGTCCCCAGGTAAAAGGGACGTCAGTACAAATAATGTACCGAGTATGTGAGGAATGAAAATCAGTAAATAATAGCATGAGAGAAACATGGAGTAAAAGACTCGACATGTAAGTCTGAATAGCCTTGTGAATCATTTAATAAATATAATGTCATGCTATATGCGTAATAAATAATCATACCATGCATAGGTATATGCGTTCATAGTATATTATATGATATAGAATATGGAAAAGGATTACGTATTATATCGACCACCACCTGATCAGTTGTAATAGGTTTGATGATTCTTCCCACAATGGCCTGAGTGATATAGGATTCCTCAACGTATTGATATTTGTGACACCGTATACCTAGCATGACACCGAATTTTACACGCACGTGCATGATATATAACTGTTTCAAGATCTGCAAAGTTATTTAGACTTACAGGCGGAATTCCTTATTCCATGTTTCATATATGTCTCTTATGTACTGATTTTCATGCCTTACATACTCAGTACATTATTCGTACTGACGCCCTATTCCCCGGGGCCTGCGTTTCATGCCTGCGGGTGCAGGTAGGCAAGTTGGCAGTCCCTCTTCTTAGGATCCTTGATCAGCGAGAGTTGGCATGCTCCACTTGATCCGTAGCTGCTTTTGATTTTGGTACGATATGCTTGTATACATATATGGGTATGACGTGGCCCAGTTCCGTTCTTGCACAGTTGTATTTTCTATTAGAGGTCTGTAGACAATTATGTATAGTTGGATAGTATTTGGCCTTGTCGGCTTCCAGTTTTGGGTATATTGTTATCTATAGCAGCCTTGCCGGCTCGCCCACTGTATTCCGCATGTATATGTACATATGTCTTTTGGATAGGTTTCCCTCACGTATGTTATTCATGTTTATATCTTAGGCGCATGCTTAAGGATGTTCGACATGTAGGACTCGGGCATCCGTCGCGGCCCACCGGTTTGGGTCGTGATAAATTGTTCAAGTTTACTCGCGGAGGCAACATACGAATGATACATGTTCTGCACCAGTTCCTTCATCATCAGTTCCTTCATCGTCATATTTGCCTCCACCTGACCCTCCAGAAAACCTTGACCTTCCAATTTCTCTTCGCAAAGGTATATGTACTTGAAAATCCACATATTTTATTGCTAATTTTATTTCCTACGACCACTTGTCTCCAGTATCTAGATCTTTGATTGTGTCTCTAGACTCTGTTTCTATACCCAAAATGGTGAATAAGGCTTTGAATCATCCTGATGGTCTGAAGCAATGCTTGAGGAAATACATGCCTCATAGAAAAACCACACTTGGGTTTAGTGAATTTACCCAGTGGAAAGAAAGTAGTGGGATGCAAGTGGGTCTTCACGGTCAAAGTTAATCCTGATGGCTCTGGATCCAAGATTGATAGAAGATCTACTACTGGTTATTGTGTATTTGTTGGTGGAAACTTGGTATCATGGAGAAGTAAGAAACAAAATATTGTATCTAGGTCCAGTGCAGAATCTGAGTATAAAGCTATGGCACAATCAACATGTGAGATAATGTGGATACATCACCTTTTAAATGAAATTGGTTTAAAGCATCCTACTCCATCAAAGCTCTGGTATGATAATCAAGCTGCACTCCATATTGCCTCAAATCCAATGTATCATGAAAGAACCAAACTAGATTTGAAGTTTGACTGTTATTTTATTCGTGAGAAGATTTTGGAGAACTTGATTTCCACTGGCTACGTGAAGACAGGAGAGCAGCTAGCTGATTTGTTCACTAAAGCATTGAATGACACTCGAGTTGATTACCTTTGTAACAAGCTGGGCATGATCAATATATATGTTCCAACTTAAGGGGGAGTATTACAGAATGAACCTAGACACTTTACACAATGAACATAGATTGTTTCTTAGTAGTGTACATAATCATATATAGATAGCAGATCTGTAGTAATCTCTTTTATTTCTTTCCTTAGTTAGCACCGATGTATATGTATATATATGTATCACTACATGGAATAATATGCCAATTTGATTCTTCCATACCTTGTTAATTACAGTTACTTTGGTTAATAAAATTTAATCTTTAACCCAAAAAAAAGAAGAAGAATTGGAGTCTAAAATTCTTAAGTTGCCATGTATTGAAAATCTTATTATATTCGATAAATTAAGTGTAAGTACTCCTAATAGTAATAATTAGATTTTCAATGTAGTATATCAAGGTGAAATTCTATTTCGTTTTATTGAATGTCCTCGAAGGGACAAGTTGATTAGAAGTGGGGAAGAAAAAATGACAGAGCAGGCAGATATATGGACCCCCTCAGGGTTACAAAATTAGCCTTAGGATCTTATAGTTTTGGTATATGGTAGATACACCCTTAGTTCGACCAACAAATAATCTATTTCTCGTCCCTTTCTCTTAACTTGAAAATGAACCGTAACCCAAATAAAAGTGAAGGAAAGAATATAACCAAAACGCATAAGTGACACCACACTAATAAGCATAAATAAAATTGTAAAACATGCCATACTCTCATTTTGTCTAGAATGTTAGTAGTATCTTCTTTTGTTTTTGAGCGATAAATATTTCATAATTTTTGTAAATAAAATTCTTTAGTTACCAATACGACAAGTTTTAAAAAAAGATAGATACAAATATGGATATTATTTATGTTAGTATATTTTAAATAACTTAAGAATTACAAAGATGTCAATATCCAAAATTTCAAATAATTTTTTTAAAAATAAAAATTTAAAAAGCACATTTAAAGAAAAAATTTGGTAAAAGTAATAATGTGAATCAAATATATAATATGAACTCAAAACTTTTAAAACTTCACTGAATGCTGAAATCCACTACAACCAAATAAATATTTTAAAGGCAAGCAATTATTAGAACAGCTTCAATAGAAAGTAAAAAATATTCCACCTCATTGATAATACGATTAAAGGTTTTACGAAGATTGAAAGAAGTGATCTTTTCAAATTTGAACCAAAATAAGTAATTTTATAAGAGATCAAATAGTTATTTCTAATAAATAATCTAAAATAACTTTCTAAAATAATCTTTCAATGTTTATTTATGATATTTAAGGGTTGATTATAATAATTTAGTCAAATAGTTTTCTCTTGATTTATATTATTAAGTAGTTTTTTTAAATAAATATGCTAACACTTAAAAATCATTTATGGGGGTAATACTCCAACTCGATATTTTGATATAGGGCAAAAGTTACAATATTCCTAAACCTGAGGGAGTGTCCAAGTGACCAAATAATTACCGTTCCCTTCCCTCTTCTCATTTTCTTCATACATATATGTAGTGAACGACAGAAGACCTATTGCACTTTCTCTCTCCATTTTCCCCATTTTCTCAGAGAGAAAGGAGATTACCTTTAAAGTCTTTGATTGATCTCTATCTTCGTTTTCCCGGCGAAATTAGGGTTTGAATATCGCTCATCGATCTCTATTCCTCGATTTCCAAGGTGAATTTCTTTCTCTTTTATCTTTCTTCTTGCGATCACTGATCGATCGCTCCCTCGCTCGTCCGCACACGCACGTAAAATTTCTGTTTAGTTTTTTCACTTTGTTTTTTGTATTATTCGTATCGTTTTTTATTTATGTTTTTTTGTCGTATTTTTTTTTTTTTTGCTTTTGTATTTTCTTCTATCTGATTCATTTGGTATCTCTTCTCTATTTCC